TATGTGTATACATATATATATATATATATATATATATATATATTAGTGGCATTCGAGTTTTTTTCAGAGACACTTACCTAGCCAATGTAGACCAAAAAAACACGAGTGGATATCCAAGAGTCTGTATAAGACTAGAACCCAGAGCTGTTGAAGCGATAAGAAGCGCTGCTCCAGGGGAAATCAGGCCACCTTCACATAAACATCAGTGAGCGACATTACCTGATCTGTCACTGCGATGTGATGAGAGCCTCTCTCAGCCTTTCAACTCTATGATCCGCGCAGCAAATCTGCCGCAGCCAATGGGGAAGCTCCGCTCACAACGAGCCAATCAGGAGAAGGAGTGTGACAGCAAGTCCAGATTGGCTTGATGAGAACGGAGCTTCCCCGTTGGCTGGAATCGGAATCACTCTCTGAACGAAGTTCTTAATGGGGTGAAGTTACAAATAAAACATTCCTAGGAAACTATCAATTAATCACGCAGGACAATGGGGGTTCAGCTGTTTAATACGTCTAGTTTCAACCCCCCATGTCTAGGCTCATAGGCCTACATATAGGCTTTTATTTATTGCTAATACCATCAGGTAGCTTATGTTAAATTATTTTTCTAGATTAGACACGGCACTGAGTAGTATTAATAAAAAACTTTAGCCTAATAAAACAAAAATACAAACTTGACACTTTGGCGGTAGCTTAAAGAATAAACGCTTTTCATATTTTGTGATTATTAGGCTACTCTCGGTTTACATTTATTAAATTACCATTGAATGTTTGGACAACAAAATTATGATGTTTAATTTTATAGCAAAAGCGTTTTGCAAGTTACCTTGTAATATTTCGTTAATGTGCTTGCAGTGGCTAAAGTAACCACTAATTGACAATATTCAAATTACAGCTGGTGAATGCAAAAACTGGCGATGGATTTTCATTTTTATTCAAATGCGCCTAACAGCGTTGCCATACAGGTGTTTTTTGTTTTTGTTTGTTTGCTTTAATAAAATATAAATATTATATAAATATTAGGCTAATAAGAATTAGACGAGCATTAATGTGTTCATATTTTTTTTAAATCTTAAAACACACCACATCTTAAAACGTTGAATAGCCTAAATATTCATTTAAAATTACTCATCTTGTTAATCAAGACATTTGTCTGTATTTTGGCTACATTGCAATAGACTATAATTATTCATATAAAGACTGCAGCTCCGAGAGACCAATTTATAATTTAATGTTAAGAAGCGGTTGTTTGGCTGTTAACAAGACACTAGATCTCTTGTTACACCAATTAATATCTTTCTGAGTTGCTGTTGACAATGCACAACCCTTCTGGGATGCATTTACACACAGTTTTCAGCTCTAGATAGAGCGTGATATGACAGTTGACACAACAAGCGATACTTAAAAAACATTGACTAAGCATGCGGGAAGGCTACACAAAACACAATTCTCTTTGTCCCGATCGACCTAGCATGTGTGATGTTTCTCAAAACAAAGTAAAATCAACTGACACTAAAGAATGTCACAGCTACTGTTCGTGATGGGTTTGCAGCATATGCGGGACGTGGGAGAGTAAAGCTTGTTTGGTTTAAATAAACAACAAATAGCCTATGTGGTTTGAGTTTGCACACAAGTTTAGGCTTTCTAATCCAGAGCGGCATTTTGTCCACAATATTTTCCTTCTCAATTTGTAGGTTAGCCTATTACGAAATGTCTGTAACCTATTTTGTCGATATATATTTAAATAAGGCCTTTAAAAATATATATAGATTGAATAATAATATTAGGCTAATAATAATGGACTTTACTGAAGGCTCGGTTATTTTCATAAAACGCGGATAGGCCTATATTCGGTTCACTGTAGGCTAGTTTGTCCCTCGCAGACTATAGCCTATAAGACGTTTCCATTATTTATTTATTTATTGGGGGGAAAATGCCGTTTTTATTGCGTCAGCCGAATAATCGACACACAGGTCTAATACAATGCATAGAACAAGCTGTCATCTCTCTCGGTCTCTTTTTCGTTCGTGAAAAAATAGCTAGCCTAAATATGGCACCAGAATATAATGCATTCATGAAAATTTTCGTCTAGGCTATATTTTTATAGGCCTATATATTAAAGACAATAAATTAATATAGTCTACTATCATAACCAAATGTAAATAAATAAATAGAGTTAATATGGATTTAGAAAATGTTCATACTAGTTTATATTAGACTATCCAGGGAAATGATCTCTTTGAATTTGGCAACACATTTTTCTTTAATAGGTAAGCAGGATGGTATTTATAGGGTGATTTCGGTTAATTGTCTGTCTGTTCTTGCTCCGTCATCTCTGTTACTCACATGTGGTGAAGATGTTTGCAGTGCAGGTGCAGCTTTGCCACTCGCCCTTCTTCCCTCTTAATTTATTAGCAAGGTTACGGCCAGCAAACCCAACTGCTACCCAGGGTGCAATTTCCCCATGTGGAATGCTTTGATCTTCTCTTTTTCCTTTTCTAAACACATCTGACAATGCAAAACGGAGAAAAATCGCAGTGTCTTTATTGTTTAGCAATCCCTATGCGTGAAGATTTATAGAATATCCTGCGCAAGTGGTTGTTTTATTACCCAAAAATGACTTTTTCGGTTCTTTGTCATCCCGTTATTTCCCTTAAGTATATGTAAAGGCTATATTTGTTTGCTGACTAGCTTGTGTTGAGAAGCAAGGCCTATGTGTGTATATTAGTAGCCTGCATTGTTCAGGAGTCAGGTTATTCAATAGTTGACTTTCTATTACAGTGAAAATGCAGGTCCATCATGGTTAAAACGCCCTCAGACACGTTCGAGGATATTTATTTACAACCAATGATCAGTGACAGGCCTTCTGGTTTGGTTCAGGGTGTGTCACGCGTTACACACTACAATGTAACCTGATCGGAGTGTAGACTAGAGATTTGTGAGTTCACTGAATTCCCTGTTATGTTACTTAGCATCTGAAGACGCTTGATGGATCGGCAACACGTGCAACCTGCTGAATGCTTAACCACTCATAATTTGTCTGTCAGGCTGATGTATACCAGAACACAGGGCCTTGTTGACTTAGAGGCACAAATTCAAATGTCAGCATTAAAAGCTGTCGTTCGGTTAAGTCAACAGATGTGTTAAATAGAACTGCAACACCTGCAAACTCAGCGACCGCTGGTTTAGCATCACATTGTACTTTTATAAACAGTATGAAACTAAACAGGGTGTCTTAAATAAACAACAAGTCACAACAAAACGCCATTTAGTTCTGAATGAATGTAGCCTATAAGTTACGTATTATCGCTACAACAGTAGCTAGCCTATACATCAGAACGAATTGTAGTGTCGAATTGTAGGCCTAGATAGCAAATTATAACAACTTTAATGACGCAATGTCTTCTTTTGTACACAAGGTATATCACGTGACAGTATTGAGTCATTATTGATGTTTTCATAGTGAGGCATTCCAAAAATATATTTCCATGATTATTAATAATAATAATAATAACAACAATAATACAGTATGAATTACATAAGTTGACAAAAAGATGATGGAATCATTCTTATTTTTTAACATGGAGAATTTAATTTACCGTAATGATTTTAATTTAATTGAATCTTCATGTTTCCTATAAAATAATGCATTCTAAACATATTATTGTCTCCACATATTGCTTAGAATTGCCTTTGATGTTGGATAGGTGTGTGTTACATTTCTACGAAAAATGCCACACTCGGAAGCATGACTATTTTTGAAAGTTTCTCTATTGTTAAGAATGTCCACTAGATGGCGCAGTTAGCTCATTTTTCTGCTCATGTCGTCACTGATAAACGCTTACACTTTGGTCCATTTGAAAGACTTTTTTTCCAAATAGAAAAATACACTGCGTTCATTTTATAATCACGCTTTTCACACTTATGTTAAATAGCGTAAATCATCAGATAATAAACACCGAATGTTATTTTATTAGGAATGATAAGAGAACGATGACGAGTTTATTTAGTAGCCTATTGTTAGTGGCAGACTTAATTATTACATAATTAAATAAAATATAATAAGATATGGCCTGCCTTACAGCTGTACTTACTGCATAAATGTTCTTTGCAGTAGGCATGAGAACTGAATTTGTGGGGGATTAAATACAAGGAGAATATAAGGTGTCCCTTTAAGTTTTATTTTATTATTTTAGTTGCTATTGAATTTTTGAAGACATGTTTTATATTTTAAGGCAGTTTTATAATTCTTTCTTTCTTTGTTTTATTTTAAAGAGTTTATTTGGTTTTGCTGATATCTAATACATGTAGGTATTTGACTGAGGCAAACAAAGTGACAATAACAGTACATAGAAGGTTTATTTGCCATACTTTTACATGCAGGACTGCTGGAATATTTCTACATTAAACTGTTATCAATGGTACATTTCATGCAAAGTGGAAATAGAGATCACTGTGCTCAAATATATTAAGTTATTCAGACTTTTTGGTCAAATAATAGTACCTTAATGATTTCCCCCCCCCAAATTAAAGCTAATGTTATTCCACACATGATTAAGTTGGCACAACAACCTCGAATCTGTTAGAAATACAATACCTCAAGTAATGCACTGTATATCTTTTCAATGCGCTCCTAGATGAGCAGTGTCTCTTTTGTATCATTTCAAGAACCCATTTGAAACATATTTCAGTGCTTTTTTCCATCCACCTATTGAAACCGCTGAGGAGTTAGGAGGAAGTGTTCAGGATCCTAGAGTCTGAGGAGTCAGATCTTTCATCATACTCCTCATCTGCAGCAAACATGCTCTGTTTGGCAATGACAGGACAGCTGTCCTCCTGGATGCTGATTCGATGCTCCTCGGTGGGCCTGCTGGTGAGGAGCGGTGAGCTGCGGATCACTCCGGCTGAGGGGCCTGAGAACGGAGGGATGTACTGTGAGCGCAGCTGATACTGCTGCTGTAATGTCATGGTATTCCACAGAGTCAAATCGTTGTGCACGAAGGGCCCGGCTTGGCCACGGCTCAATGAATTTCTCAGGATGAGGGGGTATCGAGGTGGCTGGGGGAAGCCGTGCTGGAGCGGCATGCTAAGAGGGCCTTGTACAACTCCAGCAGAAGGCTCTGAGGAGAAGCGCAGGGAATCGGGAACACGGAAGGCCGAACCGACCGACCACTTGGAAGACGAGACCGGGTACGAACTCAGCGGGTGCTCAAAGAGATGGCCGTTTGAGGGGAGTACCAGAGCATCTGAGTTCTCAGACAGAACCTTTTCTGGTTTCATCGTAGAACGGCTGGAGAGCAGGATCTCGATGGCTCCGACCAGGTCCCCACCGCAGCCTTTCAGGATGAGCTCCAGGACTGCTGGTTTGTGGGCTGGGAAGATCTTCTTCAGGACCTCCAGTGGAGGTCGGCTGGCCCTCAGGCTGAAAGGGAGAGATACAGAGCCTGAGAGGCCTTCGATGAGGACGTTGGGCTCAGGGGAGTATTTGGGGTTGTCAGCTTTGGGTTCTGGGTCGGTGCAGGATTTAGACAGGCCAAAGCGGGACTCCTCAACCTGGGGAGATGGGTCTGAGGTGTCAGGGGTGCAACACAGGTTAGGTTTGGACTCCTCAGGGGAGCTGGCTGGTTCTGGTTCTCTGTCACTGGCACTACCACCGTTCTCTCCACCAGACTGTTCACCAGACATGTCCTCATTTAGGTCTGGAAAACACACACAAGCAAAAAGCTCATGAGCATTAAGTACTGTATAATCAAAGATGGTAATACAGTGATGCTGCAGCAACATTAAAATGTTATACAGTCAACAAAATTAAAAAACTGTCAATCTAACTGTAACATTCATTTAAATATTTGAAGACCTAAACATTTTTTTTTTAAATAGCTAAAGTTAAAAGCTTAACTTTAAACACATTAAAGCCCAGCTAACTTGCTATACTCAAACACTGTCCAATTCTGCAGACTAGAAGTGCAACATTTAGGCTATTGACCTGTCAGCACTGCTGTGATTTATAATGGGTGACTTTATTGGCTGTTCACATAAAAACGCTGATGCGGTGGCAGTGAAAAATCTCTCGTCGATTCCACTTAACTACAGTTTTGCAAACTGATTATTATAGAAACATTTTACATTAATTCGGACTTTCTTTGCATTTCAGCTTGACCTGCCTCTGAAATGACCGACAGGGCCTACCCTATTACCTCCAATGTGCACTGTCGATCACAGAATACAATAATAATAATAATACACTTTCAAGGATCCAAGTTTATGACGGATGGTGCCGATGCCATTTCGTTCGGATTATTGCCGGATTGTCTATATATTTGTGTTTTAATAATTCGGACTAAATAATTTAGCAGACCTTTCAGGTTTGGGATGTAGCTATTTTAATCTAATGTATCTAACGCAAACAGTGAAAAAATGTTTGGTGTAATAAACGTGTTCGTGATGGTTAAAATTTCAGTAACAACACCATAATAATAAGAATAAACTGTATTTTTAATTAGAACAATATTAATAAAAACAGTTCTTATTATAAGTGTATTTTTGCCGGTTTAGGAAAACGGGCTATATACTTCCAGGAAACAAAAATGCCCGCATTCTGCATTATCATGTTGTCTCGATCAGTAAGACTGTTGCTGAAACTACTGCAAAGATACATTTTTGTTAGATATTTGTGATTTTTTTTTTACAAGTTATTTCAAGAGAACTCAGTCGTGTTCTCTGTTAAGCTCATTCTGTTTCGTTTTTATAATAAATTTTGTAGCAATAATAAAAATATACTAATAGGATTATTATTAATAAAAATGAATGGATTAATTATAATTACTTTGAGAGAATCTTCCCACGTGCAAAACGCAATAGGCTACGCCTTGTTTTTAGCGTTCCTAAAACGAAGTTCAAAAAGCACAATGTCTCAAATATTGTGTAACTAACACAAGCGATTACCTTGCGGCGGTTTAGGGGTCACCGTCTCTGAGCTCCAGCGTAGGTCTATGTCGCTTGATCGTGGGTTCGCGCAACTTTGAGAACTGGGGGCCACGGTAAACTTCACCACATGAACTCGGTTTCCAGGGCTATTAAGCTTTTAATTGGAAAATAGCAGATGAAATTTCAAGGTGACGATAATGCCGCATGCAGTCTGTGTTTGGCGAGGGGAATTCACAGCAAGGGGAGTGGGAGGACAACACAAATGCTAATAACATATTTACGTTTCTCACCAACACTGCAGAAAATTAATAGGCTACATTAAAAAAATACATCTCTCTCTCTCTCTCTCTCTCTCAATTTTTTTTTTAATTAAATAAATAAAAGAAGAAAAGGAGAAAAAAAACTCAAAATATTGTTGAACAAAATAGACTGCAAATATATGTAAATATTTATATTTAAATATATGCATTCATATTTATGTACTATGTTTTACATTAAAAGTATTTTATGTAAAATACAATTTTTTATGTTGAATGTGATTGGCATTAATGTACATAGATATAATGAATAAAGAGAAATGAAGATGAGCATAGAATACCATCTACACAAATCCTCTAAATGTAAAGGGAGTACAATTCATTTGTTAACAACTATAATGCTTTATTTTCTACAAGTAAAGAGCGTGTTTTTGATTAACTTGTTTGACTTTAGTCTTGTGTGAGATATAAACGCTAAATGAAATAAGCATAAAATTCCAACCAACCAGCAAAGAAAGAAAGAAATATCTGGCTCTTCTGAAGGTAATTAATTATACAGTATACATATGGTGAAGAAAACGAATGAAGCCAAAGGCCTGCCAGTAAAAAATCTGATTAAGATGTATATACACATATGGTATCTTCTTTCTGTCTACATGACAGTTTTACAGACTAAATACATTCGGAAGATAATTTTAGTAAGTACTCCTGAGAGAACAATTTCTGAAAGACATGGGAGAGAATAGAGAAGGAAGCTTTGATGTTTGGAAAGAGAGATACAATACTCCTAAGAATAATGAAGTTATAATACCACTAATTAAAAATAAAAGAAGCTTTTAAAAAAAGTGATTTAATTTCTAATGGTGAAAGGTTACGATTAGTATGAACATTTTCTGAGGGTTAAGTGAACCACTGTTAACAGCACTAGATTTTATCTATGTGGAGCCCAAAAGCTGTTTTATACTGAAGGACAGAATAAAGCCAGCATCTCAGAGAAACCATAAACTGAGTAAATGACACAAACTAAACCTATATAGTCAACTATTCAGTGTGGGAGGTACTGGCACTCCCTAATAATTTACTTTTACATGATTAATTTAGCAAATGCAGTTATCCCGGCAATTTACAAATGAGAATAATAGAGATTAATCTCAGAGGAAACAATAGTGCTACCATAGGTTACAGACACAAAAGATGACTTATTTCTGCCTGTAAGAAGTTCTAAGGTTTCAGCCATTGAGCACTGACATCCACCAACATCATGTTTAATCTAAATATTTGCACTTTATTGTACTGCAGTTTTGACTGAATACCTTTCTAACACATGTAAAAAAAAATGATACAAAAAAACCTTAGTAAGACTGAAGTATATTTTTTTTATAGAGTTTGATTTCTGCAGAGCAATGCTCTTTTATTTAATTTGATTGCTCTTTTTGTACTTCCTGTCGGTTTTGATTGAGGTTTATAGTGGTAATTATGATTAGATGTTAGATGTTAAGAATTCTAACAAGAATTAGATGTTTTGTTTCCAGTCAAGACTTGGAGAAACTTGTTCATGCCTTTATCACCAGCAGGGTGGACTATTGTAATGGTCTCCTCACCGGCCTTCCCAAGAAGACCATTAGACAGCTGCAGCTCATCCAGAACGCTGCTGCCAGAATTCTGACTAGAACCAGAAAATCTGAGCATATTACACCAGTCCTCAGTCCATTTCAAAGTTTTTAAATTCCTTGTTTTATTGTTGTGATTATTTATCTATTTTTCTTTCTTTTCTTTTATGTAAAGCACTTTGAATTACCATTGTGTATGAAATGTACTATACAAATAAACTTGCCTTGCCTTGCCTATGAATGGACTCAATGTTGAGTCTGTGAGCTGTCTATTGAGAGCCAATCGGCTGTTCTTTCATTGCGGCTCTCTGACAGGCAGCCAATAGTTTCAATGTTGTGAGTAATGACAGGACATCTGTCCAGTGAAATGTCTGGTTATTCTCTCTGTATAGGCAGAGCCTCCAAGGGCACCCAAATCACTGAGACTCTGACAGGGCCCACACCCTCTCCATCTCAACATGAACAAAGGCAGACAACAAAATAGTTGTCTGCCATTATAACCCACTCTAATGGCTTAAATTATACAACTAAGTGCAACTGAAACTCTTAAGTTAGAACAATAACTAAGACATTGTCAGTAACTGACTGACAGCTTCATCCAATCAATCAGACTTTTTACTGCTTATTTGTAGTTACTGTATTAATTTACAACTTTTGTGCCTGGGAAAAAGGGTTTCATATTCGTGCTGTTACATTCACAGATACGGGGAAATTTAGCATTACATCACTTGTTAACCAATGGATCCTCTACAGTGAATGGGTGCCGTCAGAATAAGAGTTCAAACAGCTGAAACAGCTAAAAACATTACAATGATCCACATAAAAAAAATAAAAATAAAAATCGCAGACATAGCGGGTAAAATAAGTATTGAACACATCACCATTTTTCTCAGTAAATATATTTCTAAAGGTGCTGTTGGCATGAAATTTTCACCAGATGTCGGTAACAACCCGAGTAATCCATACATACAAAGAAAACAAAACAAATAAATTCAGAAATTATGTTATGTGTAATAAAACGGAATGACAGGAAAAACACACTTACTGAAATGTATTTAATACTTCGTACAAAAGCCGTTGTTAGTAATGACAGCTTCAAGACGCCTCCTGTATGGAGAAACTAGTTGCATGC